TGCTCCAGAGGCAAGAAAAAATGGGTTTTCCTCTACACCACCTATTCCAGGATTTGGCAATTCAACGGAACTTCACTTTCTACCTGCTTGAAAAGAGTGCTGGAGCAACAAAGGACACACCATGATTTGGTGCGTCTGCTCCTCTGGGCAGAGAAAAGTAGAGCATTATGGGGGTAAAAGGTCTGTCCTTCAAAGCCTTGAGAGTGCAATACATCCTTAGTGGAAAGACAGACATTCTTAGCTGGTGATCCCTATGTTCTAGGGCTTGGTTGGCATGACAGAGGGAATGGAGGGAGGGGAGAGAGTCTAGGCGGACAGACAGTTCCACAGAGGGAAAACAGTACTTCTGTTGGTCTGAAGTGGTGGGCCTGGCCAACAAAGGACCAGCTCCACTACAAGTTTGTCTTCTGAATTCCTTAAATTTCAAATTCTGAATTTGAAGGTCTGTAATCCCAAATTCTGAATTTAAATCCGAATGTTGGTACTAGTGTACTAGTGCACATCCCTAGTGATAACCACTGCTAGAATTGACAGCACTGATCACTTTGTCCATAAGAAGTTGGAAGATTCTAAAACAGCAGACAGTATTGTGTATATAACTATGATTTCATATGCAACATGTTTTTTATATATAAAATAAAGAACTGTTCACATATACTGTTCCATGTGTAGAACATCATTGCGAAATACATGGCTGTTTTTGTGGTGAGATAACCAAACCATTTCAAGTGATCCTGATGTTGTTCTCTCCCTCTCTCTCTCCCTCCCTCTCTCTCTCTCTCTCTCTCTCTCTCTCTCTGTGTGTGTGTGTGTGTGTGTGTGTGTAAAAATGATGCAAGTCCAGCAGAAGTTCAGAGTAGACAAGAAACAAAGATCCAGATGCAGTGTGGAGTAAAAGCCATGTTGAAGGTAGAATTTCAAACCAACAATAGAAAGCTGGAGGAATGAAAGCAAATGCAAGGTCAAAGGCAGAGAGGAATCACAAACCAGTGCAGGGAGGTAGAGCAGACAAGGTATTCACACATAAATACTGTATTCACACATATAGGGCCTAATATATCAAAACTGGCTCAATGGGATATATCAGTGAACCTCTTTGGCCTGGTATTGTAGCCTAGAGGGCACATTTTCCACTAATCCACTTGGCCTCCTAAAAAACTGCCGTGCTAGATGTATTGATTGGATGGAACAGCCAGGTGCTCTTTTGCTTATAAGACAGTGAAACATTCCAAGTGCTGTCCAGACTGATGTCTTTTTTCCCCTATATGTCTGATACTGAACATGCAGGAAAGCTGGGAAAGTCTATTTTTTATGTAATAAAAATATTAATCTAAGCTTTTGATGCCATTGCTGTCCCACTGGCATACTAAAGCTTTCAGTGGTCTCTTCTGGAAAAAGAAGCAATGGGACATCACCAAGTACCATAGTTTGCCTGGGGCATTTGAGGCTTCATAGGCACATGCCAGAGCTGCCAGACCTACCTGTTGCCCAGGAACAGAAGAATTCCAACTTGAGTCCAAACACTGGTCTTTGCAAGATGCTCAAAGCCATACAACCAACAATGAATGAACAAAGGCATGCCCATCCTTGTGACCTGACCCTCTATGTGCTTCCTTACAGCCTATGGGAGCTGTTCAGAGTACGTGTTGCTTCCTGGGCAAGGAGCCCTGTGTTTAGGAAAGCAAGTTGGCATCTTGACTATGCCAAAGGGTCTTTGTTGTGGGGGGCAAAAGTAGGGCAAAGGACAGGCTAAACCTTTACAGCCTTCTTCAAACACTGCCTTTGCCAGCTCTTCAGCATATGGGCCAGAAATTGGACTCTTTTCAAGCAGCAGTTTCAGATTCTTAGCATCATGAGGAGCCAGTTCTCATACAAACACACAATTACTGGATTACTCACTTTGTGTTCATTGTGTCAGCTCTTAAGACTTCACATAATGGTATAACAAAAGCACTTTAGTCACCACTTTCCTAATTACCCCTTGCTTTTAAAAAGACACAGGATTTATCCAGCTGGACCATTTCTTCACTGTAATGTACCTGATTCAGCAGTGATGTTTTTGTTATTTTTCCTGCCATCCAGTTGATATTTGTCTTATCTCAGTCACTACAGATGACTGAGTACTAAAACCCATTACATTTTCGGCTTTTTTGTTAGCCCCAAATTTGTAGTTTATTTTTTAGCTCATTTTGTCTTGACAGGTAGTGTTTAGCACCATGGCACTTTCCATTAAAGTTCACAATCCAGGTGAAAGCTTCCCACTTGGAAGTTATCGCTTATCACTTGAAAGCATTTTTAAAACCAAACCAAACCAGCTCCAGCAAAGAAGCGCAGCAGGGAAGCTGATTTTTAAATTTAAAAAAACCTTTTTCTTATAGGAAAAAAGGTAAATTTTACCTCTTTCTAGAAGAGGGGAAAAAAAGCAGATTTGTTGGGAACTAAATCCGGGTACATTCATACTCTTTGGGCACCAATCAGCAAAGGAGAGAGAGAGATTAAAAATGCTCTGTCCAAAAGCACTCCTAGTTCCAGTAGATGGCATTACAGATAGACAATACAGTATTCTACCATAAACTTTTCTGTAAGGTACAGACTTATGTGACTTGAACTTGTATGCCTCTTATTTATTTTTTTTAGTAATTTTAAGACAGAGGACCTCACAATATTATTAAAATTGCCCTGCACATTATGATGTAAAGCACACAAGCAGTCAAGATATTCAAGCTAGAGTTGTTAGCAACTCTGACTACAGTGAGTTTCTCTTCAAATAATGTTAAGCATAAATTGTGACAAATCAATCAGTTTCAATTTTAAAAACTCACTTTTGAAGTGTTGACTGAAATTGTAGCCTCCAGCTACAGAAGGAAGCAATCTACATCAGTTCTTTAAATTGTTTGTAGAAAAAACAGAGAGGACAAAACTGAATATGATGGCATTAGGAAAATATCCAAGGAGTGTGGAGAGTCAAGCTAATTGTCTACTGCAGTGGTTCCCAACCTTGGTTAACCTGGGTATTCCTGGACTGCAATTCCCAGAATCCTTATCACCAGCTGTGCTGGTTGGAGTTTCTACAGTCTAAGAATACTTGGGTTAACCAAGGTTGGGAACCACTGATCTACATGATGTTCTCTGCTTCACTACCTCTGTTGCTACACACCTATGTTTCTCTAGATGCTCAATGCACATCAGATACATGATCTTAATAATCATCACAGCAGCCTTGTAAACTAGGCCAGTATTATTGCTGTCATGTTACAGAGTGAGGAGATGGTAAATTGGCTTGTTTAAGACTATCCAGCAAATTGTCAGCTGAAAATCAAGCTGAAATACTCCTAGCAGAGAGTTCATGCTCTTTACCACTTAACTATGCCAACAATATCTCCTTAACTATTTTGGCAACATACAAAACATGAAGCACATTAGAAATAGCGCATAGCCAAACTCCTATTGCATGGCTCCTTGTGAACAATGGAAATGACAGCAGCGGTCATGGCAAATCACCACCTATTAAAGGCTTCCTTTGGTTATTTTGGGTTCATGCAATGTCATACTTTGTACATGAGTTACGTGCACCCCATTTGCTATTGCTGATATTGCACACATGGAGAATGCACACAACAAGATTTTAGGAGGTGTGTCATCCTGTACAGTATTTCCATTGCATATCACTCATGAGAAAGCATTGGTGTGAATTCATTTAATGCTATATAAAGTCTGGAGGTGCATGTAAAGATGCATGGACAGCATTAGAGTGTATGTGTTTCTTAAATAAAGTCCTGGTTCAATCTCTAAAGTCTCCTATGCAAAAAAAGGAAAGGAAAGGAAAACCACAATCAGACAATAATGGGAAATGGTACTTTTTTGAACTATACTCCCCCCCCCTCCGATGATGCTAGCTGTGGGATTCTGTGAACCGTCCAAAAAAGGGGACTCTTGCATGATTATTTTTTTTTAAAGAACAACCCTCTGCCTAAAACTCTGGACAGCCACTGTTAAGGTGGAGAATACTGGGTTAGATGGGACAAGAAATATCCTCATACAGGGCAGCATTCTCTGTTCGGGGACTCTTGCATGATTTTTTTTTTTAAAAAAAAGAACAACCCTCTGCCTAAAACTCTGGACAGCCACTGTTAAGGTGGAGAATACTGGGTTAGATGGGACAAGAAATATCCTCATACAGGGCAGCATTCTCTGTTCCATGCAAATACTGAAGTGGTTAGCCCTTCTTGTCCACTTAGCAGCAGCTGCATGAAAGTGGCATGCGTCAGCCTCTTTTGGCAGCTCCAAACTTCAGAGTTTCATAAAACTATTTGCACATCTTTAATCTTTTATTACAAAAAACAGATCCAGTAATAACACTTGGTACCTCTCATCATCTAGGATTGCTTATCTGCTACACACATGGGCAGTAAATAGTATAGGGTCTGTGTGCCAGCACCCTGCTCATTCTTGTGGATCAAGAGCAATAGCGCTTGCAATAAACAAGAGGCTTTTTCTTTTCTTTTCTGGAGCCTGCAGGATGCTGCAAACAATTCAATTGTTTAAACATTATTCTTTGCTTCTTTGAGAGCCCTTTTTAGAAGGGGCGGTAGCAGCGCAGAGAACATCTCCTTTCAGTCTCCACAATTGTTTTTTGATCGCTTTTTGTGGGTGTAGGGCTCAACTTTTAGTCTTTCTTTGACACTTTGCTGCCGACAGACACGGGGACGTCAAGGCTCCTGAATCCACACTCCACACAGGCAGGCGATGCCCTTTGGGAAAGCACCGTCAGAATGCAAGGGACAGGAATAAAGAGGATCTAGCAGCATGCCTGCGAAAGGAGATTGGCTAAAAAAGTTTGGCTTTTTTTGGAAGCGGACGCGGAAAAGCAACAGCCCTGCGAACTCCCTTCCCACATCTGGATTTGTTAAAGGAGCTTCCATTTGCAGCTTGCTTTCAGGCTGGAAAAAGCAAAAAGGAAGATTAACTGATGAAAGCAGAGGAGACAGCTTGGGGCTTACCTTACTTTGCAGAACAGGCCGGGAAGAGGGCCCTTTTCGCCAGCGAGTACCCAGAACTGGAGGCGACTCGCCCACCCCACTTTGCCTTTCTCTTTCTTAGGACGTTTTCTCCCGCTTGCTTCGAGTACACGACCAGCTTCAGCTGAGCTCCGCAGCCCTTTCCAAAACGTGAGGGAGGGTGAGCTGTCTGCAGCCCAGAGAGGCGGGACGCCTCTTGGAAAAGGGAGGGGGGGTGAGGGTTGTGTCCCGCTGTCCAGGGAGCCCGCTGCCTTCTTAGTGCCTCCAGTGCGTTGTATTCTCTCTCTCTCCCCCCCCCCCCCTTCCCGGGCATCGGAGCCCGCTTTCTCGCAGCCCTAGAACATTTCTTTTGGAGTAACCCCCTAGCTTTTTGGCTAAAGTGCGTGCGTGTTGCCTTTTAAAAACCGCCGTGATTTTTGGAATGGGGGAAAAAAACCCAGAAAAAGGAGCAGGAGTCTTTGCCTCTTTCCTTTCGGGAAGGCACAGACACACTTACACACCCCTACACAGCCAGCCAGACCCGAAGAAGCCGAAAACAGCCTCTGCTGCTAGACACAACAAACACAACAGCCCAAGCGCGGAGAGGGACGGGCAGGACTTCGCTTGGTGAAATTAGGCGGGAGAGGGAAAGAAACTTTAGTTAAAACTCCAAAACAGCAAGCTCTTCCCTCCAAACGAAGCAAAAGGAAAACGATGGGACCCAAAAGTCTCTCTCTCTCTCTCTCTCTCTCTCTCTCTCTCTCTCTGTGTGTGTGTGTGTGTGTGAGTGAGTGAGTCGGGGGGGTGGGGGGGTCTCTCTCTCTCTCTCTCTCTCTGTGTGTGAGTGAGTGAGTCGGGGTGGTGGTGGTGAAGGTTTCCCAAGTTTTCATTCAAGACTATACTCCTGGCTGTTGTGTGTAACTCTTCGTGTGTGAGAGAGTGTGTCAACCCCGCCTGCTTTCGATTCTGGCCTCGCACTCCCTCGCCCCTTCCCATCAGCGCCAAGCCTCCATCCTCCTCCCCCTCCCCGCGCTCCCCTTTCTCAGGATATGAGGGGATGTTCAGAAAATCCGCTGCCCACGCCAGCCGCTGACTCATGTTTTTATTAAAGAAAAGAGGCCCGGGCTTTAAACCGACGCCACATTTTAAAAGCACTGCGCCCTCCCCGGCCCCTTTGCGCAAAGGTGGGGGGGGTAGCGGTGGGTGGAATGGGCTCCTGACAGAAGACGGGCCCGCCGGAAAGCGCTCAGGCCCTTATCGCACGAGATAAGGTTGGGCTGAGGGGCTGATCGATTTGCTGGGCGGAATCGCCCTTTGCCAGCTTTTTCCAAAAGGTGCTCGTCCCATCAATAGCAAAGCACCGTAAAATGAGATCCTATCTTTTTTTTTAAAAGGCGTAACAAAGTGATAGACGCGTCCTTTTGTTTAGGTATGTGCCAACTTTCCATCCCAATAGACTTTCTTTTGCCTGAAGACTGCAAAGGTTTCGTATCTGTGGAGGGTCACTTGTGAGATTTATCAGACCTTCCACTGGCTGGCCTTGTAAATCTAATGGGAACTGCAGTCCAGCAACCCCTGGAGCCTGGCAAATTGCTCGCCACTGGTTTGTGCTACATATATTTTTAAAAACACAGTGGGTCTTGATACGTCCATCGAAGGCGCCTTTAGATATCAGAGTTCCTACTTTTGAAGTACAAACATGAATACTTGAATGTGGCCATGGGGAATGTAGTGCACAGATGTATTACATTTCCCATTAGCAGTCCTAATAGAAGAGAAGGCCAGGACAGGGTTATCATGTTAAGCCAAATTCGTCAAATTTATATGGAGGAATATCCAAATCCACAATAAGGCAAGATCTTTCTATGTTAGGATCAACTAAAATGTCATAAACTACTGTGATGAGTTCTCCAGAGCAGTCCATGGTTTGCATGATAGTGGGTAATGAAAGTCATCAGCATCTCCCATATGTGTGAAACTTCCATTGGATGCTAGATTTAGCATCTATAAACTGCAGATTTGGCATGTTGTATCCTTGATTCCACACTGGAGAAGCAGGCAAGTGGGAAAATTTTATTAACTGTTTTAAAGTTTCTTGCAACTCTCCTTCTGGCATTCAAACCATGTTGCTGTGCATTTGCAAAGTTAATCAGCTGAGCTGTTTACTTATGGAAAATATCTGGGGGCTTTTAAAGTTGTCTTTTTTTAAAAAAAAGCACGGTCTATGCTCACATCCTTCAAATCAGCCAGATGATTTCCCTCAAAGAAGCACTTCCACTTAGGGAACATTGCATTAACAGGGAGAGGGCAAATTTTTACCTAGGTAATGGGATCATTACAGAATGGCTGAGCTAGGAAGTAATGAATTAATACTAACATGATTACCTGTAATGTACTTCTCTGAATGGATGAACAAAGACACATTTCAAAGCTGATGTAAGTAGAAGTTGGCATAATTTTTAGGTAGTTAAGAAAATCTTTTGAGTGTTTTAGAAATATATTTAAATTCATTTTGACATGGAATTTTCAAGCTTTATGCCAGGATATTCCCAATCCTATGATTTCCCCCCAAAAAGACATTTTAAAAAGAGCAGAAGAGCAACAAAGTTCTTTTTTAACATCACAAAAAGTAGCATGTACAAGTATGACATGTAATGGAACCAACTGTACTATACTTGTACCATGCATACTCCATTTCTGCATACCAGGTTAATTGGATATTTTTAGAAGCTTAATTGCAGCAAAGGAAAGACATTGGAAAGAAACAGAGCTGCCAGGAAAAACGAGCGCACGTCCCTCACCCATGTCGTGAACCCCTCGTGGAAACTGAGCCCCCTTCCTTACAATGAATCTTTGGAGGCTTTTAAAATGGCAGATAGTGACAGGAGAGGTGTACTGTATTTTCTGTGAGAGGGCATACAAGAGAGTGTGTATAAGAGTTTCTGTGAACGTATCTGTGAAGATTCTGTCATCCAGGTGTGGTTATCTGGAAGCTGAGTGATAGCAACTGGACTTATTTCTTATTAGGGTGAAATGTTTCGCTGCTCATCCAAGTAGCTTCTTAATATGTCAGGGGTCTCCTACCAACTCTCCTCAGACTGAAGGAGCTACTTGAAGGAACCGAATAAGAAAGAAGTCCAGTTGCCATGACTCAACTTCCAGATAGGTTTGTATGAATGTGTGTGAATGAAACCATATGGGCAATCATACAGAGCACTGCATGCCATCAGTGGTGTGGCCCCACCCACTTTTGGGTCATATAGCAGTAATTAGAAAAATGGAGATTTTGTTCTATTTCTGTTCTGAAGTTATCATTTCTTTTATATTGAATATGTTGCAAATTCTGGGTCTGAACTTCTTCAGCATTGGATCTAATTATGCACCTACTGAGTCCGTTTTAGGTATCTGGTCATCAGGGTGAATAATAAGACCTTCACTAGCAAAGAGCTTGAAATTATTTAGCCATACCCACATCAGGTATATATAAGGCCATGCCAGGAGTTAAAATTCTCTAATAACCGTACCTAGTCACTGTTATTATCTTTCTTTCCCCCCCATTGGCTGCAATGACCATTCAACAGGCTAATTTTTCCTCAGTCCTTCGAGGCTTGACTTTGTTTGGAACTTTGCCAAAGATGGGCCATAAATGCCTCTGTAAGTCATGCTGGGCTGCTCCAGTTCTAAGAGTGGATGCAACAGACTGGTTACAGGATAGGCAACAGCTTCCAAAGCAGATGCTGAATTCAGCTGAACTTAAGTCTTTTTATGGATATTAAAGAATGTTACAGATCTGCTCATTCTGAAAATCGTTTTGAATCCCCAGAGTGTTCTTTTGGGAACAGTCTGCTTTCAGCAGCACTAAGAGCAAGATGACAAAAAAAACCCAAAATACCTCAGGAACAGGATGTCTGAAGAGAAAAGGAATCAAGAATCAGTAAGAATGCCCCATGGGGTTCTCTGAAATATTTTGTGGCTTTTAGTATTTTGATTTCAAGACTGTAAAATAAACAGGGGGGAGAAAGAGAGCAATAGCTTAAAATTAATGATGACGCCGACTTATGATGCCCCTTTTCAGGGTTTTCTAAATACAGTAGAAGGACTCAGAAGTGATTTCCCATTTCCTTCTTCTGGGGGCACCCTTGGACTGTGCAGCTTGCCTTTGGCTGTGCAGTCTGTCTGTCTCTTCTGGGATAAACCGTGAAGAATCAAACTCCCAACCTCTGGTTCTGCAGCAAGACACCTAATTTCATTGAGCTCTCCAGCCAGCTAAAAGGAATAATTCCTCCCAAGGTTCATGTGTGCAATACTGTTACCAGTAGTAACAGACATGCTAATAATAGACCAGGAGTTGTACATAGAAGCACTGCCAAATTCTGTGTACAAATGTCCTCTATTCATGCCTGTCTGCCACACTGTGTGCAAAGAAATGTGTGGTACCTCTACCTACACTGTAGGATCCTGAGTGACTGGTGCACTTCCAACGTCATGGCAGGTTTTTCAGAAGGGTTGGTTGGTTTGTATGTATGTATGTTGCTGTTGATAATGATGAATATTGCACCTATAACATTCTCTCAGGCTTAACTTTGTCCACTAGGGGTGTGTGCAGGGGTTTAAGCCCCGGTTCACTGTTTCAGAACATGGCCTGTTTCTGCTTGAATGGATCTGGGGCCAGCCTGCATCAGCTTGGTTACCAGATCCGAGCTAAAATTCAGAAATCCAAAGGTTTGTGCCTCGCACTTAGTACCATGGGAAAAGCAAAAGAAAAAAAGAAAAAGCTCCAACCTTACTATTTCTCAAAGTAGGGTGGCATTAAAAGAAACCTAGTAACTCACTAGGAAGAAACCACACTTGCCTGGTAGGCTGGGACAAATACTGAAATGACCCCAATTGTGCCCTGCATGTCTGTTATTAGTTGGTTTTGGAAGAGAAGGGGCTCCTTTAAAAATCTCACAGTTGTACTGTGGTGGAGGTATTGTCCACCCAAGTACACTTGGCTGAATAGTATGTTTACCACCATCTGATTTTTTTTTAAAAAAGAGGCAATCCTTCTTCGCTGCTTTAACTGAGCTAAGGGGAAGCTTGAACAGTGCGATGAATGCAGCCCTGCCTTGTACTTCTTGTATAAGACTTCTTGTACTTCTTTTTGCTGTTGTTAGCCGCTCAGAGTGGTATAAGGAAGCTTGAACAGTGCGATGAATGCAGCCCTGCCTTGTACTTCTTGTACTTCTTTTTACTTAACCCTCCACCCTACATGCTGAAGTACATTTTCAGCAGAGGCCTTGAGGACTAGCTCCATCCACATGACCAAGCTATGGATCTCTATACTTATGTCTAGAGATCTGTGATCCGTAGTACCACTTAGCATCTCGAAGGTACAAAGTACAGTTCAGCAAAGGCCTTGAGGACTAGCTCCATCCACCATGACCAAGCTGTGGATCTCTATACTTATGTCTAGAGGTCTGTGATCAGTAGTGCCACTTAGCATCTCGAAGGTACAAAGTACATGCATAGGAAGGGGGATCATGACAGATGGGTTAAAGTGAAGGGGGACAATGTTATACAGTTTGTTCATATTGAGGGCATCAGCAGTAGGAAAGAAAGGCCACTAAGAGTATAGCATACTCAAGAGTCAGTTCTAAGGTCCTCATAGCAATTTTGCATGCATACTGCCCTCTTCCACTTGCAGACTTCTTCATGTGGCTGCATTTGGAAAGTATGAGC